GGGGGCAGGGGCCGGGGAAGGGGCCGGGACGAGAACTGCCTTGGCTGATCGACTGTGAGGATGTGGAACCGATTCCCGGAAAACTGGCCAGGTTCGCAGACGCCGCTGGAAAACCGGTACCTGCCGGTCTAGGGCAGCGGTGCCCTAACTCCAAGGTCTCTAACCCGCGTGCCCTTTTTTAGAGACTCCGGCAGTGCTGGAAAGGAGCGTGGGGCCCAGATGCCGGCCCTGCAAAGGGTGCGTGGGGCTCTCCTCGCAGGAGTGAGATCTGTGCTTTAAGGAAGCCCCAGGCTGTGGGCCAAGCTCCCAACCCTACAGAAGTGTGTCATCAAGCAGTTTGGAGAGGGCTGTGCGCACGCAGACCTAAGCCCACCACCCTGAGGACCCTTGAGTCCTCCCTTCAGTTTCCTGCCCTCTCTTGGGAGCTGAATGGTGTTTGTGAGATTACCTGACAGGAAGCGTAGCACCTCCTACTTCTAATTAGGCTGCGGGAGGAGGGTCACAGAACCGTTTCTGATCAGAAGCAGTAATTAGAGGGACAAAAATAGCATTTTACGGGGTTCTTCAGAGATGAGCTTTTGTGTTTTTGTTTGTTTGATGTTTTGTTTTTGGTGTAAGAGGGGGGAGGACCTGGAAACTAATCTCCCGAAGAAGGTTAATAGCATCTGGGCATTTAAATTGTCCACACCGTCCTTGTCCCAGACAGAGCTGGAGGTCCTGGACGTTCACTTCCCGTTCCTAGGAGCTTTTCACCGTTCCCGGAGGCAGCAGTCCCTGGGTTGTCGCTTAGGGGCAGAATGGCTCAAACTGTTTGGTCTCACGGTCCCTTTACTCTTAAAAATCATTGAGGACCACTAAGAGATTTTGTTTATGTAGGTTATTAACTGAATAATTTTAAAAACTTCATCTGTCAACTTATTTTAACACAAGGATGAACTCATTCAGTGTAAATATAAACAATCTTTTAATGAAATATGTTTCCATTATCCAACACAAAATAATGGGAAAGAGCAGCGTTACTTTATATTTTTGCAATTCTCTGTAATACCCGATTTAGTACAAGACAGCTGGATTCTCAGTTTTGCTTCTGCATTTGGGAAACCCCACTGACACTCATCAGGAAATGAGCAAATGGGGCAAAGAACATCTGACCTTGTTACAAATATGTTTTTCACCTCTTGGACCTCTTGCAAGCATCTCAGGCCCCCTCAGGTGTCCCTAGTCTACGTGGTGAGAATCCAGATAAATGGGAGCCAAGCTCCCAGGGGTGTGGGGTGACTGACAGGAGGGAGGTGACAAGCAGGGCAGGCACATTTGGGATCCATTCACTCACACCACTTTGTCCCAGAGAAGCCCCCTCCCTCTCCCACACCAGGCAAGTGGCTCTGGGGAGAAATCCTGTGGTTATTTTAGAATCCATCCACTGTCATGCACGAGGCTTTTAAATTGAAGAACGTTTTTCTAACAGGAAAACATTGGACACCTAAATGTACACAATAGTAGTGGTTAGATAAATTACAGCTTCTCAAGCCAAACACTCGGCGGCCTCAAAGAGAAAGTAAGAGGCGTGTTCAGTATGAATAGCCTGCAGGTTTATTAAGCAGAGAGCACACGTATAGAACAATGTGTATATTATGGCCTTTTTAGTGTGTCTTTGAAAGAAAATAATATTGCATAACTGGGAAAAGAAACAGAAATTGCTTATAATAATTGGTAATCTTTGGGGAGATATAGAAACTAAAGATTTTTAAACCTTCCAGCAATGAGTAACATATTGTGTACAATTGCTGATTGTGCAATTACATTCAGTCCTTAAAGAAGCGTGAGAGGGTTGGCGGCGGCGGCGGCGGCGGGACCGAATTTCATTTCCGCGGGTTTCGAGCTGTCCCTAGCCGGGGCTCTGGGAGCCCGCGGGCCCGCCTCGGCCCTCGAGCTCCGCCCCCACCCCTTGCCATTGGTCGCCCGCCGCGCCGCCCCGTCCAATCGCAGCGCTTTGCGCCAAATTTGAATCGCTGTTTTCATTTGAATCGGGAAAACGAGGCGGGCGGCTTTCCGCGCCGGCGCCGTCAACGCCGGGCACCTAGCGGACGTACCTGGGCGGGCCAGCGGGTCACCCGCAAGGGCGACGGAGGGGGGAGCGGGGACTGCGGCGGAGGTGGGCACGGGCCCGCGGGCTGAGTCCCGGACCCTGTAGCGCGGGGCGGGCGGTGGACGCAAGTGGACACGTTGCCGGCTCCTCACCGTGCGGACTTTGGGTTGCGCCCCCGCGAGCGGTGGACCCATTGGTCGCGGTGATTCGACCTGGGTAAGTCGGGGCACCACGGGGGCGGAGGCCGGAGGCCGGAGCCGCAGGGACCCCTCCTGGCTCTGCGGAGACCCACGCCGGGGGCGCGGCCTGGGCCCGGCTCATTCTGGGCTCGGGCTCGGGGTCTCGGTGGGAACCACCCGGAGATGTGACTACGGTGGGCGGCGTCTCGGCCGCAAGTCTTTGGGGGCGCTGGGTGCTGGAGGGCGCCCTGGGGGACAGCCCAGGGTGTGGCTGGATCTCTCACAGATGTCAAATAAGGTGTGTGCCCGGATGGCAGGGCATCGGTGAATTGTCCAAGCAACCTCAGTTGGTCACTTAGAGTGACTTCTTAGCTCTTTGCCGCCCCCCGCCCCACGCCGCGTGTTCTCTTTTTGTCGTTTTATGCAGCGGTGTGTCCCTGCGGTGAAGGAGTCGCTCGGAGCTTGCTTCAGTGACTTTCATGCCTGAACTTCCTGTACGGGTGCTACTCAAGTTCTGGTCTTGAAAATGGGTCCTACAGGACGCCTTGTCACCATCAAAAGGAGCGGGGTCGACGGCCCCCACTTTCCACTGAGCCTCAGCACCTGCTTGTTCGGGAGGTGAGCCCTGCGCACGCGTGGACGGTTTAGCTGAAAAGACCTCAATATCTTAATAAGGACAGATTAACAGGCCGGAAACCCGGCTCTCGGCGTCGTTCCTGCCCCCACGTTTGTTGAGGCTTCCTCTGTGTTGTCAGCTTCACGTAGTTGTTTATTACAAAACAGAAGTTTGAAAACAATGTCTATATGTTAACTGTGTTTTTGAGTCAAACATAAACGTTAAAGTTGATTTGATAAACATCTTTAAGTGGAGAAAAATATAGATGATCTCAAATCCTGATTCACTTCAGGCGGTCTTCAGAAGACAGCTGTTTATGCGAAGTCCCTCCAAAAGGTTGCATTCATTGGCTTCTGGGGGACACTGTAGAACAAATGGAGAAGGAAGCTCCTGTATGGCTTGCCGGACTTTAGAGAAAAACAAAAATGGGTGGGAAAGCCCTCCTGTGTGTGTGGTGGTGATAACTGTGGCTCCCCTAGCACAGGCGACATTACTAATTGCACCCCCTCTTGATTTCTAACATGTGCCTTTTAGACAAATGATAGGTCACCCCCCCCCACCCCCCGGGCTCATAGAACCCTGTGTGGTGCCACCCCGACCCCTTGGACCCATACCCTGTGCATGCCACCTCAGACGTTCCAGGCCCTAGCTCACCCTGATGCTTTTAGCGGGTTTGAACTTTGTGACTGGAATGTTCTCTCCATCCTCCCATGAGTGAGTCCTTTCCAACTTTCAGATGTCAGTCCAACTGTGACCTGAAAAGGAGCCTTTGGTGAACAGGGCTCTTGTTTTTCCTGATGCCACACGCGGTCACGCGTCCAGGCAGCTGCCCCACCGCTGAGCTCCCCGGAGGCAGGACCGTTGGGGTAATAACTGTGTCGTTGGTGCCTGGTACGGGCTCAGGCAAGTAAGAGGTCACGAGGGCTTAGCGCTCTGGTCAGTGTCCAGTGGAAACATGGGCTGTGGAGAATTGGAATTGGTATATAGCAGTGGTTCTCAACTGGGGGCCACCTTGCCCCCCAGGAGACATTTTTCCGTGTCACAATGTGGGAGGCCGACGCTGCTGGCACCAGTGAGCGGAGGGCAGGGATCCTGCTAGGCGTCCCGTGGTGCATGGGACAGATCCCACTGTGGAGAATTATCCGGCCGGCCTACACTGTCAACACGCAACGGCGAAGAGCCATCTTCTATATGACTGATCCGGCTGGCGGTCTCCTGCTGGACAGACTCTCAGTTCTAATGAGATAGTCGCTCCCTCTTGCTGGAATATTCTGATGCCTCCAAATCAAATTCTCTTCTTTGATTTAAAGTAGCTGTTCACTTTCCATAGCTTCTTTTCTCTTCTATAGAAAAATGTATGAAAACATTCTGGTATCAAAGGGCAGCCATTCTAGTTATTATACAGCAGCGAATAAGCCTATTTTTATATAAGATTTTATAATTTAGAAACCAATTGGTTTGCTCATAGGACTTGGGTAGGAAAAGAACTGAGACTCCAGAGGCTCCTGCTGAGAATGGAGAAGAGAGGGTACAGTCATCCAAGCTTAGAAAACCACAGGGTGGCCATGGGGACACCAGGGACCCAGAGACCTCACCAAGGACCTTGATGAGTTTCTGCGTGTTGGGGAATCCTCCTTCCTGGTGCTTCCTGCTATTTGTGAAAAGACAAGTAGAATCTAGAGAATGTTTTTTTGTTGCTGGCAGATTAGTATTTTTAGTGATAGGAGCCTTGCGAATCTGTCAGTTAATACTGTTTTAAAAGCAACAATAAAAAGCTCACGAGTAATAGCATTTGCTGTGCGCCAGGTAAATGACAGGTGTGAGTAACTCATTTAATTGTCTGAAGAACACCGCGATGTGTGCTAATGTAATTCTTTCTTTGTATATGAAGAAACTGGGGCACAGAGAGGTGCTAGCATAAAATACAGCACTTTTGGTGATGGCTAAACCTTAAAATATGCATAACATTACAAATAAATGCACACAAACCTTTTTATAGAAGAAAAAGCAGAGTATTAAAAGTAATTATTTTCCAAACTGATATAAAAATATTCCTTTAGTTGAATCTTAGAAGCATAGATATTTTAGTTAAAGGCAAATCAATTTATATTCTAATACAATTATTTTGAAGTGATCTAAGTTTTAAAGATCCGTAATAGTTGCTTGTACAATACTTGTAAGAATTATGCGCAAACGGCAAAGATCATTCGCATGACCCAGTGTGTTCCTTGACGTCGCCATGCTTACAGATCGGACACGTAGTCAAATGCTGTTTTACTTTGAAACGTTGGCATCATTTTTTAAAAAGTTGCGACAATCTAAAAAGTCTTTAATTCATTTTCGACGAAGGGGTATCGAGTGTGACATTCGCATCCAGCTTCCTGTGGTGTCGAAGCAGCACTGCAAAATCGAGATCAGCGGGCAGAAGGTAAAGAGGCTTTTCGAAGTCTGTTTTTGAAAACCACTCGCTTCGCTTTTTACCTGCTTATTACATATCCCTCCCCTTTTTGTTTTCCACTCGTAGGCAACGTTGTTTAATTTCAGTGCCACGAATCCAACACAGGTGAACGGATCCGTTATTGACGAGCCCGTGCAGCTGAAGCACGGAGACATGATAACTATCGTCGATCGTTCCTTCAGGTGCGTAAAAGTCACTGGGCAAGAAACGGCGGCCTCCTGGTCCACCAGGAACCAGCCTTGTTGACCCTCCGTGGTCCTTCAACACGGGCGAATGTGTCAGAGTGTTCGAGAGTGTCATTTTCCACGCTAATTCTTAATCTAAAGTCACCTGACACCTGGGCCGCTGGGACCCAGTTCCAGGATTTGAGCACAGGTAACTGTGGAAGGGCAGCTGGGCCCTACGGAAGTTTCATTTTGTTTTAAGTATTGTGAAACCGCATGCGTTTTTTTAGGGCTTTTATTCTTTTATTTTTACTTTTATTTTTTTTTAAAGTAAGATACATTCATAGAGAAAGGAACAGAATGAGATGAATAAACAGCCCTGTGATCATCACGTTATGGGCTGAATGGTGGGGACCCCCAAAATTCCTGCGCTAAAGTCCTAACCCCCAGTCCCTCAGAATGTATCTGCGTTTGGAGATAGGGCCTTAAAGAGGAGATTAAGTTCAAATGAGACCTGTAGAGTGGGCCCTAGTCCAACCTGACCGGTGTCCTTTAAGAAGAGACGAGGACACAGAAGCCAGGGGAGCGGTGACTCAGAGGGACCCGCCCTGCGACCCCTGGACCTCCGGCTGCCAGCCTCCGGAACCAGAACCGTGAGAGCATAAGTGCCTGCTGTTTGAGCCCCGGTGTGTGGCGTTGAGTTACGGCAACCCCCGCAAGCTGACCCGCCCCCGAGGCACAACCGCAGCGTTTTTCGGGGCTGCTTTCCTGCGTCTTCCGGTCACTGCTGTCTCTCACCAAGTAAATCACGAGCGTGGCTTTCCGACGGCATGACAGTCCTTGGAGTTCCACTGCACAGGCCTGCACCCCTAACCACCACGGCTTTGTCTGTCTGTATTAAATGCCCAAACACTTGAAATAATGAAGTATTTGCAACCGACTTGTGGTGAGATTCAGAGCATGGATGTCAAAGTCTGTTGCTTCTCTCTGCATACGTGTTCCATCGAAGTAATATGTGCAGTTATATACACCCAATCATACACAATTTATTCATTCTGGATGGACGTTTGAGTAACCTCATTCTTGAAATGAGTCAGGGCTTGCTTGCTTTGTGATCGGATAGGGTTAATGGTTAATTTTTTTACTAATCTGTCCTGTGCGTTTGAAAAGAATGTGTATTCTCTAGCTACTTGGTTCAGTGTTCTTGTGTCTATGGCCATTAGATTCAAATTTCTAACTCTGGAATCATCTTGATTTTCCCTCCAATTCTTAGTTACTCAGACAGGTAAGTTAAAATCATGCGTTGAGGTTTCTTGTTTGTTTTCGTTTGATAGCTCTGTCGGGTTTTGCTTTCTGTTATTATTATCTCTTCCCGGTGGATGAAGCTTTCTTGTTTATCATTGTGAAACGTCCTGTACCCTTAGCAATGCTTTGGATTAGTGATTGCGTGCTGCCATTTTTGCTGCCACATACTTTCAACTTCTCATAATCCTTAGTGTGTAGGTATCTCTGGGGACCAGCTGTTAGGTGCAGTTTGGTTTGTAATCGGTTTTCTCCTCGATAGATTGACCCATTTATCATTATAAAATGGGCCTGGTCTCTGTGAACAATTATTACCTTAGAGTCTGCTTTGTCCGATATTCGTGTAGCCTCCCCAGCTTGTTCTGGTGACTCTTCGCTTGGTGTGTCTTTTACTTTCTTCATATTTATGTCTTTGAATCTAAACTGCATCCCTTGTAGGAACGTATAGTTGGGTCATTTTTTAATCTATTCTGCTAAACAACTCTACCTTTTTTGTGGCCTTCATTCGTATTAAATAGATACTTATTAACATACCATTTGAACATCCTGGTCCTTTCTTTTACTGTGCTTTTGGTGAATTTGCCTTCGTTTTTCAAAGGTATTGTTATTGATAGAGACTTCTAGGTAGGAAGATTTGCTGTGGAATAGAGACCAGGACTTTTGCCCAAAGGAGAAACTGTTTGAGCTGAGAATAATAGAGATGAGTGAGCGCCTCCAACGATGACTAGGAAATGGGTCCGGGGCGGGGAGGGGGCTGGACAAAGAGCTCTGCTCCCCAAGAAACAAATCCAGGTACCCCGCTGCTTCAGATCCTACTCAGGTGGCCTCTAAATTCAAATCGGGCCATTTCATGGAAGAACCTAAGTTCCGTATGCATTTCAAAAGGTTGTCCGTGAATCTATAGCTGAGGTCTGAGAACAGCTCTGTATGGTGCTAAGTATCTATCAGCCATGAAATGCGCCTGTCATGGTTCAGATACAGATGGAAAAAGTGGGAAACCGAAGAGGATGTCGTATGATCTTAAAGTACCCCTCGCTTTGTGGTTCCCACAGAACCACTGTGACGTCACACAGTGGGGAAGGTGTGGACCCCACTGGGCTTCCTGGGTGACCCTCCAAGTCATCAGGATTCCCATGGATGGGAACAAGCGGAAGCCTGATTCTGCTCTGACGCGCAGAGGGTTCACACGCAGGAGCTGCTCGGGGGTGTGAAGCATACGAGCTCGTCGACTGCAAAAAATTAGTCTGCATCCTCAGCCTTAGACAGTGGGGTTCCAAAAAAAGCTTGAGGCAACTCGTCTAAGTTTTGTGTAAAAACACTTGCCCAACTCTAACTTTTTAATTTCCAGGAACAGGTTTTAAACAAAACCTGAATTCTGTTCCTTGCTCCTTGGACGTTAATCTGATACGCAGGCTTTGCCATCCGTCACAGATCTGTAATCTGAATGTGTGTCTCATTCTTTGCACCTCAGGTATGAGAATGAAAGCCAGACGACTGAGTTTCCAGGACAGAGACGTGAACAGGTGATGGGGGTTTTATCCAACTTTTGCACGATGGTGGGAAATCATTTATATGTGTGGTTTCTTCCAAGGGCAGATGACTTACCAGTTACAGTAGGGAAGTGTAACCAAGGTGTTAAAACAAATTGAACTTAGATTAAAATAATTTAAAACTATACTTCCTCTTTTATTCAAAATGAGTCTTGAGTCAGTCGTACACTTTTGGCCCCAAAGATCCCAGAGTTTCTCTCGGTCTGATCTTGCAAATCTTTGGTTAGGACGCCCTAATACACAACTAAAATTCTGGAAGTACATTATCCGGTGGCTCACCTCATCTTCCGTTGTCCTCATCCGTCTTACTTCTATGAAGTAACTGTGTGAGGGCTGTGAGTACTGCTGGTGCTTTCCATTTTGATGGGCAGGTGACCCATGACCCTGGAAGAGAGTTAGCATGCTGTGTCATGTGCGAGCATCTTCACACTCGTGTCCATCATTGAAGGAAACATATTCCAAAGGGTGCAGCTTATAAAAACGCAGTTCTGGACCCATCCTTGGAGGTTTACTAGGGCTTAGAAGGTTTAAGGTAAATGCGGAGAGTTTCTATTTTACTTTTTACAAAGCTACCCAAGCTAGTCTCCCAGGACTAGGTTGGAAGTCACGGGCTTAGTCTTGTCACTTGAAATCAGCAGGCAGTGACTTATAGAAGCTCTGCTCCAGCTAAGTGCTCTTTCCGCCCTAGAGACGTGGCCTTAATGCCGACCCCGCTGCTTATCCGCTTTGGGGGAAAACTAGCTTTCAAGGTATCTCACCCACCAGCCACCATTCTAACTTGTTAGGTGTAAGAGAGCCAGCCCCAAACCTGGATAATGGGTTGGTTAAGTGGTCTCAGTGTCTGTTTACTGTCTGGATTGCGATTAAGTACTAAAATTGAACAGTGAGAACACATTATAGCAATTCGACAGTTAATTTTATGGCTATTGAATATAACAGTACAAAAAGTAGGGGCTTATATTTTGTACATATTTTTAAATTTTAATTCATTTTCATTGTTTAGTCGTAAGAGTCTTGGTCAACGTCAGGTTGGAAATTAGAAACTGACCCTTCGCATGAGAAGTGTGAGAAGCAACGTGTGAGATACCAAGCAATCTGAAATTGATTAAAGAAGGAAGTGAAATTATTTGCCTTTTGGATGTATTTTGTGATTTTTTTCTTTCTCCTTAATAATTGAAACAACGCTGGACTTTTGTATCTTAAGTATGTGTTGTTCTGAGTCGTTCCTCGGCCCCCGGAAACATTCCCTGAGGAAGGTTATGAAGGTGCTGATTTAGGGTCCACGTGGGTGGGCTGGGTGTGACCCCTGCACTCTCGGGGGGCCGGGCCTCGGCTGCACTGTGGCTGCTCTAACGTAAATATCCGCCAGCCGGGAGCACACGTGCTGGCTGGGGCCTGAGTTCACCACAGTCCTGCAGCCACTTTCTGATGAAACCGAGTATGAAGTCAGTAATTCTGTGCCTTAGGTAGAGTCACGGATACTACTGTGCAGGCGATGTTTAGTTTTAACTTTGGTTCTTCCTTCATATGATGACAAGAAAGAAGTTTGAGGAAGTTATAAAAACTCACTGCGGTTCAATTTAAACAATTTTTAGCTTCCAGTTTGTTTCTCTATCAAGGTATTTCTTAAAATCCGCTAAGAAACAGTTGTATTCAGCGAGCAGTAGCAGCTGAATGTCTCGGATTTAGTTTCTCAAAGCCCCTAACAGTTTGGTGAAGGTCATCAGTAGGAAGAATATTTAATACATCTGACTGCGGGTGCCGGGAACGTCTCTGACTCACCTCTGTTACTTTGCCGATTCACAGGTGTCTCCGCATCAGGGCCCGAGGTCTGACTTCTCTTCTGACCCTGGTTAGTAGCTTTGGGTTTTGTTCCTGGATCCTTCACGGTCAGTTCCCTGCGTAGCATGTGGCAAGGAAGTGACAGGCACAAGAGTATCCTAGAGCAGGCTCACGGAGGATGGGAGGTTGTGTCATTTAACTTGACAAACATAGGCAGACACCTGAGCTAGCTTTTTTCTTAAGTGACGTGTGGGGCGCCATGCTTCTTAGAGAGTGTAGACATATAGATCCACTTGTCGGCTTGATTCCGAGTGGATTAATAGCATTCAATGTCTCAGATTGGTTAGAGGAGGCTCCTGGGATTGATTTATTTGGATCACAATACTGGTATCAGAATATCGTTATTCCACATTCCGGGCATGAAGCAATTTGCAGGCTAAGTGAAAAGCTAGGTTACAAGCCAGTTTGAAACAGTTTTAAATTGTGAATGCTGCGCGTGTTCATCTTTGAGAAAGTCTTGAACTTTTGTTTCTTATTTCATAACTCACTGCCAAGACGGGAACGTTCAAGATCCCAACACCCGTTCAGAAGTCACTGAGGAAGGTGTCTCAGGCCCTGTGCACGCAGAGGGTGTCGGCGCTGCCCATGGCATTCCTCGTGCCTCGGGTGAGCCCGGTGCCAGGAAAACACCTGACGTTCCTTCCTCAGCACTTCCTGGAGATGACGGCAAAAACGCAGCGGGTCCCACTGCCAGCGAGTTTAGAGAAGATTCCAGTGTAACCTCAGTGAGCGGGAGTGGAGAACTGACTTGTCCTTCTACGCGGTGTCTCGAGAAGTGTGGAGAAAATGAGTCTCCCTTTAGGAAGCTTTATGAGTCTCTGAAGGAAGAGTTAGACGTGAAGTCAGAAAAGGAAAATGTTCTACAGAATCGTAGAAGGTCAGGGTCACGGAGTCACCGCACGACAGACAACGGAAGTGCTGTTGGCTCCCAGGGCGCGGCACAGCTGTGGGTCTCCCCAAAGCCTGGGCGGAGGTCGGGCCCGCGCTCCCAAAGTGAGGTGGGGTCTGCCTCCGGGGATCGGGGCCGCGGCCGGACAGAGGCCAGGAGAACGGACGTGGGGCCCGCTCAGACGCCCAGGGACGCCGTGGGTCCCCGTGTCGCCCCCAGGGAGCTGACCAAGAGTGAGAGCCCGGCACCGTGCCTGCAGCAAAACTCCTCGCGACCTGGGCCGGGCGGAGACCGGAGCCGCGGGGGTGACTCCGTGAGCCTGAGTCCCCATGTCAGCCTCGGGGCGGGCGGCGGACTGTCTGCTCCCGAGAGGATCTTAACTAGGACCCAGACCCAGACCGCCACTCGAGACGACGGTGCCGATAAGTCGAGAAATACACCAGAAAAAGCCTCGTCCAAAAAGCGGCGGAGCAGCGTCCCTGCAGACGCGGACATGCTCGCCGTGGACGCGGAAACTCAGGCTCCAGCCCCGCTCAGCCCGCTGCGCGCTCAAGCGGAGAGGAAGGTTCCAGACAGTCCCCTGAGCACGCCCGAGCCGCTGGACGTCAGCAACTCCGCCGAGGACGTCAGTAAGTCCACTTACCTGGAAACGTATTTTCCCCCAAAGCGCGCATCCCCCCAGTGAGCTAACGAGACCTTCCTTCCTTCAGTGACCATTCGCTCCGTGGCCGGGAACCCACGCGGCACTAGGAACAATGATAAGGTGGCCGTGTTCCCTGTCCACCCCGAGAGCTTTGCAGCCAGGACCTGGGTGAGCCTGACGGGGGTGGCAGGTGCAGGTAGTTAGGGGGACACGGCAGGGCGCCTCAGGTAGGCTGGTCCAACAGCGTTTGCTTCTCCTCTGGCGTCTGCAGCCCAGAAAGGAGAATAAGCACATTCGCTTTGCACAGGACGTTCGGTTCTGACCAGGCGTCTGTCTCCTGAGTTCGATCCTGTAGGTTAAGTCACGGAAGTCCCTCGGAGATCTTTCATGACATGGTGGCCCTCAGGTATCTCTAGTCTGGTCTCAGGGTCTCGTGCACATAGCGTCTTACGAGACACTGGCCTACACTGGCACCCTGGTGCTGCGTGGATTGCTGCCTTTGCACTGCTGACGTCAAGCAGACAGCGCTGTCCCCGGCACAGGAAGTCTTGTCATCACCAGTTTGCAAATGGGGAAACTGACAACCTGATGTCACGGGGAGTGGCGGAGGGAGGGCCTCTGTATCTGTAGCAAGCTTGGCAGCTGCGGGCACCCTGCTCTCTTCAGGGGTCCCCAGGTGTCTGGGGCAGCACGCTGACTGTCGGGGCTCTGCTTCTGCAGCGGCCTGCTGTGTGGGGCGCTGCAGCGCTCCAGACTGAGACCTGCTCACATCGGTCACAATGTTCCATGAGTCTCCTGTTTGGACAGGATTTATCTTGATTGGCGGTTCATAAAGACGCATCCAGGGGGCTGAGTTGCGAGAGCTGTCTGTGAGAATCGCCTGAGGTCTCATGCTCATTCTGCTCACAGGATGGGTCTGGGGGAGGCCCAAGTCCATGTCTTGGGATGGTCCCCTTGGGCCACCGCTGCATCCACCTGCGTCAGGCCCCCGCTCCACAGTGAGAGCCTCCGCTGCAGGCCGGTCCTACACAGGACTCTTCAGCGTTTAAAAAGTATCTTTGTGCTGTCAAGCTGGGACATGATGTCTCTGTGGGTCGACCCTGACCTTTCACGAGCTCTTAGAGCTGCGTCAGCTTCGCCAGCGTCACAAGGGAATGAGGGTGTGCTGTCGACGTTGGGTCCCTGAATTCCATGCTGTCAGTTTGTCTTTAACAGCGGTTTGAAACCAGTCGTGAGTACGGATATGGTTCTCAGCCCCTTTCCCCGTTTGTGTTCATTACCTTAGATAAGATGGAGGGGGTGCCCTCCAAGAGAAGGCGGGTCTCCTTCGGTGGTCATCTGAGACCAGAATTATTTGATGAAAACCTACCTCCCAATACACCCCTCAAAAGAGGAGAAACGCCAACGAAGAGGAGGTCCCTGGGAACCCACACACCAGCCGTCCTGAAGAAGATCATCAAGGTACGCTCAGCAGGCAGCGTCCGGTGCCGACTCATGTCCTTGGCACATTCCTTTCCAAGCTCCTCATGCCGTAGAATTACAACTAAGACCTTTCTTTTTTAATAAAGAAGTAAAAGTAAAAAAATCTAAGTGAGAGCTCATTGACCTGGGTGGGCAAACGAACACCTGGGCTCCTAACCACTGGCTGCCAGGTGGCGGGCACAGGTGGGACCTCAGAACGCTTCCTTTTCCTGCCCGGGGCTTACAGGATCAGAGGTCACTCTGGGGCGACAGTGAAAACTAGCAATCTAAAAGAATCTGGAGCCGGCTGGACACATAGCCATAAGCTGGTCACTTTTTCTTTTAGAATTGCAAGGTGAGGGGGCAATCTGGGGCGCGCACACCTGAGATTGTCACAGCCAGCTGTTCAGAACTTTTGATCAGCTGCCCCAGGCTGTGTTGTCCCCTGAAATACCCCACATAAGACTTGCTGGCTGCTTTTTGGTCTCTTTCTTGCCCCTCATGGGAGGGGGACAGACCTGCCCGTGCCGGCATCCGCAGGTGGAGGTGGCAATGTTTGGATGCTTGGACACGGGCCGCAGCTGTCCTTGGGGTGGCCTCGCGGCCAGGCTTCTCAGGGGCGTTTCCATCTCCTCAGGAGCAGCCTCCGCCCTCGGGGAAGGATGACGCATCGGAGATCCGCTTGGGGACACCTGCACAGAACGCGCTTCCCAGCCTGCCGGCCCGGACTCCCACGGGCCCCGCGGCTGCGCACACGCACGGCGCGCGCCCGCTGCCCTCCGGGCCACCGTGTGCACAGGGGACAGACCTTCCGCGGAGCGGGGGCCGGCGGAGCAGCGGCAGGCCCCCCAGGCCGTCCATGGGGCGCAGCCAGCTGGAGCTCCTGCAGGCCATTCACTCCAAGAGGCGGAGCGGCGCCTCCGAGGCCAACCTAATCGGTCAGCATGGTGGGGACACATGGGTTTTAATCGGGTTTTCCCGCCTGTGCTGGTTTGGGGAAGTCTGAACATCTTTTCCTTTTGACAGTGGCGAAATCGTGGGCGGACGTCGTGAGGCTCAGCGCCAAACAAGCGCAAACCAAAGTCGCCAAACGCAGCGCCCAAAGGCCCCCGAGCAAACGGCAACGGAGAAGCAATATGCCGAAGGTGTGCACGGTAGAGGCGGGCCGCCCTGTACACCAGACGTTGTTGACGATTACGCCAAGTGTGGGTCTGTGCTTTGACACTGTTGTGTTCCCGATTTTTTCCAGAAGCCCGTGGGCAGCGTCCACCATCCGTCCAGCACCGGCCACGCAAACTCGCCGTGTACTATAGTCATAGGGAAAGCTCACCTGGAGAAGGTAAACGCGCCCGCCCGGCCCTGCAGAATGCTGAACAGCTTCATATTCAGCAGAAAAGCCGACTTTAATGAAGATCTTTCAGGTAAAACACAAGCCTTTGACACTCCCACGGGTGAGGGCGTGCTGGGTGCTGTGCTGCTTACCTGCTGTGGGCGGGGCGGCAGAGTAAAGGGACCGGCCAGCTTCCGGGGCGTGATGCTCGAGGGAGAGAAAGCTGGGTGGGAGAACAGGGACAGGCCCCTGACAATCTGGGGACTACGCACCCTGAAGGAAACAGGTGCGAGCGGTAAATTCACGTCAGTACCTCGGAGAGCGGCACGCATGCGCAGAACTGCAGCCCGCTCCGGGGAAGAAGGCGGACTTGCTCTTGTGCGTGCCCCTCCCCTGCGTTTGCACTAAATGATTACCCAGACTTGGGGCAATCGGTGTGAGCGACGCCTTGCTTCTTCAAGATTTCCTTTCCTTTTCGTAGCTTTACTGTTTTGGGGAACCAAGGCCTGTGAGAAGGTTTCCTTTGAGCATTAGTAGCGTACTTTAGCCAGTGTGGCCATTCTCGGTAGGAGTGGGCTGTGACTTGCTTATGGTGCCAGATCAGAAGCACCGCAGGAACCCGGGGCTTGCATTTCATGGGACCGAGTTAGACCCCGTGGTTCCACTTTTGACGTTGGTGGAGGGAGGTGAGACTTGATCGCATTGGGTAGAACCTTGTGTTTATTTCCTGGCAGATTTTTAGACGGAACAGGTGCTGTTCTCTGTATAACTCGTGGGAGATACCCTCTGATTAGCGTCGTATTGGGATCGATGCTTTTAGTTTTTTAAAAACCCACGACATTGTAGGGCATCGCTAACCGGAGTTTTGGTAGCAAGCTCTGCGAGTAGAAAATGTTGCACATCTACCTCCCAGGATGCAGATATACGTGTACCTGTGTGTCCCCGTAAGTTATGTGAACGTGTGAGCATGCATGTATATATGCTACGAAGCATTGAAACGCCCTCAAAAATATTTTTAAGATAAAATAAATAGAATCGACCGAGTTTGACCCCGTGGTTCCACTTTCGACATTGGGGGAGGGAAGTGAGACTTGATCACATTGGGTAGAACCTTCTGTTTATTTTTTAGACGGAACAGGTGGTGTTCTCTGTATAACTTGTATGAGATACCCTCTGATTAGCGTTGTATTTGGATCGATGCTTTTAGTTTTTTAAAAACCCACGACATTGTAGGGCATCGCTAACCGGAGTTTTGGTAGCAAGCTCTGCGAGTAGAAAATGTTGCACATCTACCTCCCAGGATGCAGATATACGTGTACCTGTGTGTCCCCGTAAGTTATGTGAACGTGTGAGCATGCATGTATATATGCTACGAAGCATTGAAACGCCCTCAAAAATATTTTTAAGATAAAATAAATAGAATTTACACACTCAGTACTGAAGACCGGATTTTCTCAGCCTTCCTTCAAGACATTTTCCTAGAGAGTCAGGAGGGTTCACCCCTTGGTGTGAGTAATTTTCGTGTTGAAACATCATCACGTGCTAAAGACCAAATCCTAGGTATTTTAAGTAAGGCCTGACAGGTGGCAGAGGGTGTTTGTTTGTTTGTTTGTTTGTTTGTTTTCATAGGCAAGACGGCCCTTGGTTGACTTCACAGATTGCAAGGATTTTGTCAGCTTTCAATCCCTTACTTTTTATTTTTTATGCCTGCAGCACCTGGTCTTCCTAGGTGGTCTCCCATCCAAGTACTAACCAGGCCCGACCCTGCTTAGCTTCCAAGATCAGACGGGATCGGGCTTGTTCAGGGTGGCATGGCCATAGACCAGAGGGGTCTTTAAGTAGTTGGCTGCTTTGGGAGCCTTCAGAACAGGCTTCCCAAACAGTTTGCACACGAGTGCCTGACAGTGTTTCGATCCATGATGGCAGAATGAAAAAAATGAGGAGAACTCGCGATAATATGAGTTTATCAGAAAGTTAAATCTTCCATTTGAAGTACTATGAGGTTCTTTCTTTCCTGAGATTATGCTAATACTACTTTTTGGTCTTAAAATGAAAAGACAGTGATATTATTATTTGACAATACTAAAATCAGGCAGCTCTCTGCCATCTTTTAAATGTGGAGACATTTTATTTCTGCATGACCTAGGACCTTTTCGAAGGCAGCGTGTGGGCCCTGGGTCTCTAGATGCCCTCCTGGAGGGGAGGTGCCGAGGGCCAGCCTCTGTCCCTTGACCAGAGCGCAGGACTTCAGGAGACTGCAGGCGACTTCTTTCGTTCAATTTTCTTTCCAAGGAGAAAGGCAAAGAAGAGGGCAGATAGGAATCTAACTTCCCATCACCTTCTTTTAACAAAATAAGTTTACGGTTCACACACCAGCCCCTTTTGCGACTCTCCCCGCCCCGGATTGCCCGGGCATAATCGCTTCTCTGTGCGTGAGGACCGCGTGGTTGTTCACACGTGTGAGCGATCTGTCTGTTCATTGCTTTTCCCCTATTTTCGTGTCACAGGGCTAACCGAAATGTTCAAGACGCCAGCGAAAGAGAAGGTGCAAATGACGAGCATATGTCCCACCACCTTTTCAAATTCAGAGGATTTGCTCAGAAAAATGTTTGCAGTCCCTAGTTCAGAAGAAGAAACACTGCTACGCACCACAAAAAATACAGGTTGGTTGGCAATTTTTTTTCTTTTTTCTTACCACTTTGATGTCCTCCACGAGAGCTAAAGATGGCGTTTTTCTTTGTAGAACGCTTATTGTGTTATTTCCCTAC